GTCTGCTTCTCCCTCTGACCCTCCCTCCTCTCATGTGCTCTCTCTCATTCTCTCTCTCAAATAAATAAATAAAATCTTTAAAAAAAAAAAGATTTGTTACTTCAGAATAAAAGGGAAAGACTTCACTAATGACTTCTCTTCCAGCCTCAGGTTTTGCTTATTTAAAATAGGGATAAGTATGTCCTCTTTGTAGGACTTCATGTGGGCCCCATGCATTTAAAATGCTTAATGTGATGCCACATGGTCAGTGTTCCAGAAATGTTGGCTATTAATGGATGGGCTTTGAATTGCGTCCCCAAATTCCACTGGGCTAGTGTTCAACCCCTGGGTAGGACAATGATCAATAACTCTTTCTTTAAAATAAATATGCATCCATAGAGCTTAAGGAATAGTATTTGGCTTCCCTTGCTTCATTTTCTCACATAAGCAGCACACATGAGCACCTACGCACATGCATGGCTAGCACTCACGTGTGCACACACACACACAGTTGCTACTTCATAATTAAAGGAAACGCACAAGAGTCGGGGTGATGTCACCACATGTTAACTCTGGCAAGTTGCAGAGTTATCATTTTTACCCAAGTATAAAGGCTTCATTATGCATAAATCAGAAGTTTGTTTCATTTCAGCACTGGGCATTCAAAGTCTGTTGTGGAAATTTTCTATACCATTTAAGGCCATGTCTCGGGTTGTTGGAGCTGGAAAAATGGGTCAGCAGAATAAATAATTCTTCTGATCTTTCAAAGTGGAGCCCTGTTATATTGAGGGTATATCTCTGTTTAATGGTGCCCCTTTTAAAAATATGAACAGACTGACTTAACCAAATTGGTAGTTATTGGCACAAAACAAAAACAAAACTACTAACTGCTAATATTACTGTTTATAACAGCAACAACACAAAATTTAAATGTCAATCAGTATGAAAGGTAAGAATAAGCCCATATATTGGGACGCCTGGGTGACTCAGTTGGTTAAGCGTCTGCCTTCAGCTCAGGTCATGATCCCAGGGTCCTGGGATCAAGTGCTGCATTGGGGTCCTTGCTCAGCAGGGAGCCTGCTTCTCCCTCTACCTGCTGCTCCCCTGCTTGTGCACACCTTATTGCTCACTCTCTCTCTCTCTCTCAAATAAATAAATTTTTTTTTAAAAAAGAATAAACTCATATATCCATTTCATAGAATGTTATGTAACCACTAGAACGAATGAATTTGGTCTGTATGTATTAACCTTGAAAGAACTCCATATTGATATATAAAAGCCAATTAAAAATGATGTGCATACCATGACATCATTTATATAAAAAGCTCGTACACAATACTGTGAATACTATAAATATGTACTTATTTTATTTATATATATATGCATAAAAATGCAAAGTTAAAGTACAGACAATAATCTACAACAGTGGTGTCTTCTCGGTGGGGGGACTAGGACACCAACTTGGCAGTGGCATGATTCAAAATATATTCAACCTTTTCTTTAGTGTTTCTTTCTCTTTTTTCTTTTTTCTTTTTTTTGAGTGAGTCTGTATTTCCATGTTTCACATGTAATTAAAATATTGAAAATGGGGGCATCTGGTGGCTCAGTCATTTAGCGTCTGCCTTCGGCTCAGGTCACGATCCCAGGGTCCTGGGATCGAGTCCCACATCGGGCTCCCTGCTCGGTGGGAGGCCTGCTTCTCCCTCTCCCACTCCCCCTGCTTGTGTTCCCTCTCTCACTGTGTCTCTCTCTGTCAAATAAATAAAATCTTTTTTTTTCAAATAAATAAAATCTTTAAAAAAATATATTAAAAATGGAAAATTTCATACATTTCCTTTATCTCAGTAATAAAATTATATTATTTTTGAAAACCTACAAAACAAAGGAAGAATTTCTTCCAGTCTTACAGTTCAACTCAGCAGTTAGCATTTTAATGCAATGCCCTCCATAATTTAGTTGAAATCATGCTATACTTGTTCATTTTAAAATTTTTCATTCATTAGGGGGCCCTGCAGAGTCCTCATCTTGCTCATTTTAATGGATGTAATATCCCACTTGGAGTATATACTTTAATTACTACATTACATTCTTCCTAGCTTTTGGTACAACTCAGTATGTGATTAGCATATCAGCAGCTCCCCTCTCCCCATATCTTAAGAGAGATGTGTTCTGAGAAGGATTAAAGAAACAAAATGATTGAGTGCTTTCAACTCTTGTTATATATGTGAATTCTTATCATGAGGGGTTTTGAGATGGCTTCTTGGTTAGGAAGAGCAGAGATGCATTGTCCTGAAGGGGTCTGCAGTACGTGGTAACATTCTCATCTGGCTCAAAACAGCACTGGGCAACCCAAAGGAAAGCAAATACTGCATTCATCCTATGGAGCTCCTCAGAAGGCACCCTCCGAGCCACTTCAAAATCCTCACAGCTCCAGACAAGACTCAAGGCCAGAACCAAATTCTGCCGTCCCTCTTCCGGAAATGACTAGGGATCAACGAGGAGGTTGTGGTGGGAAATAAAAGGAAACAAACAAAACCTCCATCCTCCCTCGACTTACTTTAATAACAGCAAAGTAGATGACCCAGATGCTCCCCCAATAATTACTGTATCTCACCCCAAATGGGAGTTATCCTAGAGAGACTGGAGGAAGGGCATGCACACTTTAAGTGAAAACTAAATTCGCCTCTGTTGTGAAAACTATCTTTTAAAAAAATTATTATTGAAGTCTAGTTGGCATACAGTGTTAGATTTGACAGTTCTGCCCATTATTCAGGGCTCACCATGGTAACTGTAGTCACTGAAAAATATTGTATTGATTCACGTGGTTCACTGTAGCAGGTCAGCAGCAAGGACATGGGAACCACACCAAGGCTAACAGGGCTTATTGAATCATATTCCCTGGTTAAATTACTTAATAGATTCAGAGGTAGGGATGACTTCTTGTGAGGCCGATCTCTACTTACCGTTTGTATAAGGGTTGACAGTCTTTTTATTTGTCATTACACGTGCTGTGGCATTATTTACCTATGTACATAGAAAAGTCAAATGAGCACATATTCCAGGGCCAGCCCACAGTTCAATTAGTTGCATGCATTATGACTGTGATTACTTATTAAAAAAAAAAAACTAAAATGCATTTTAATTTATAAAAGGCAGTAGGTGCATAACAAAATCATACATTTTTATAATTACATTTACTTCATAACCATTTTAACTTACAAATCATTTCAATAAAGCAATGTCATATCATTTAAAAGTTTAATAAGGAGACAGTAAAAGCAAATTAAAAGGAACTGCATAATTGAAGATTTAAAAGCATGCGTGTACCCCATGGTAACACAGAAACAATAAATATTTTTAAACACAAAATAAAATTCATATGAAGGAACATGCAGTGGAGTAGAAGAGGGGAGAGACAAGGTACAAGGGAACATAAATGTCAAAAAAAAAAAAAAGGGACAAACAAGATTTAGCCATGTGCAACACTTTAGGAGGGAAGGACCATCGGGGAGAGCAACATCTAGCATTCAACACTTGGAACAAGAGCCTTTGACATCGCAAGAATTAACAAGATCATTCAAGCTTTAAAGTCACAGCTAACAAAAGGATAAAAGAGAGGGTGCATTGTTTAACACAATATGGAGTTAACAATCTGAGTAAGATGTGCACTATCATATCTCAATCCAGTCAGTGCCTCCCAGGCTCGCTTAGAACGTACACTCAATTACAGGCGTACCGGTACCCAAAAAAATAGAGCATCAAGAAAACTTAATACGACAAGTCAAAAAAATCCACGTGGTATATATATGTATAGAGATAATCAGCACTAAATACGTGAAGCGGCAGATGGACTTCACCACTTACCATTCACCACCATCGCCAGCATGGGTTTGTATACAGTTACCATGGTTACTGAGAGTTTGGTGAGGGGCCTAAGCGTTATCGTCGAGGGGGGGGGAAACGAAAGGCAAAATATGCAACATCTTACTCCAAAGACTAAAGCATTTTTAACTGGTATTTTTTTTTTAAAGTTTTAACAAATATAACCCTGTGGCCATGTTGAGGGAGATCCAGTGGTAGAAAGACTAGATTCTGAATATTGAAATTTTAGCATTTATTTTTATTTATTTATTTATTTTTGAAGAGGGGCCAGATATTGAACAGGAAATCCTGTTTGGTTAGTCACTTTATTATCAAAAGAAGGCAAGGATTCAAACTGGCTTCTTAAACAAAAAATGAAAGGTTCAGTGACAAAGACCTCTCATTTTTTTTTTTTTTTTTTAAGAAACAATTGTTCTTCCGAATGCTACTGCTTTCACCATTTGACTCAATTTGGACACCACTGTGGATCCCTCGTCAACCCTGCAGTGGAAAGAAAAAGAAAAAAAAGGAAGAAAAAAAAAAAGAAAAGAACTGCTTTGTTTTTTGTTTTGTTCTGCATACTGTCTCCACTGTTTGGAACCTACTGCACCCATCAATTATAAAACACAGAAAATTAAAAAAAAAAGTTCAGAGTAACCTTTCTTTTTGTCTCACTTTTGCCATTCACCTTTCATCAGTAATAAGAACATAATAAAGTAAAATTTAAAAAAAAAGTAAGGCCAGTTTTCCTTTTTATATATAAATATATATATATATATATATATATAAACAATGAGAAGGGAGTAGGGTCACATACAAGACACAATGATGCATCTGGAACAACGAATGAGCGTGAAGCAGACATTTATAAAGAAGATGTAAAGGAAAATATTTTGAACATGCACCTCGATTTTACGGCCCTCTACCACGGTGCCGTGTAATTTCTCCCTCGCCCTGTCCGCATCGGCACTATTTTCGAAAGTTACGAAACCAAATCCCTGCATGCAGGAGGGAGAAGGGGAAAACAACATGCAGATTATTATTCCAGTCAACGACCACTGTGTAACGTTCTCTCGCTTTAATTTCTATTTCTTGTCCTGGCTTCAGTTCTGTAACATGCAAATTAGAGAAATTATAAGAATACGAAGATGTGCAATAAGTAAGCGACAAATGTGAACAAGATTTTTTTTCTGTCACCAGTTATCTGTAACCCCTGAAGAATTCAAAAAATGATACCAAAAATACCTTTCTAAATGTCACTACAGAAGAAAATAAGTCTAACGGAAAGAAAATGAGATCAAAATAAATTTACAGTGTCTTCACAGAGAAGAAAATGAAATAACGAGGAAAAAAAAGGGAACCACTTTCTTGACATGCAAATTAAGAATAAAATAAAATAAAACGTGTGCACGAAATTCAACAATGAATGCCAAAATCTTCTAACATTGCCTACAGAGTCATGCCGTGTGGTCTTAAGAACATCTCTTCTTCATGCAATTTAGGGTTATTCAAATTTGCCAATTTTACAGCCTTAACTTCTCAAAAATAAAAATTAGAAGACTAAAAAAAAGGAAAGACCTTTTTCATAATAAATCTTAAACTCTTTGATCTAATAAACAAAATAATCACATGAAATGAATTGAAATAAACATCAATTGATTAATAATGCAAACAGTTCAAGTAGCGCTTTTTTATATTAATACTGTCCCCTCCCCTCAAAAACATATATGCTTCTGAATTTGTCAACTTTCCAGGCTACTTCATTAACTGAAAAGGGAAATGTATGTACGTATCGTAATGTTCTAAGACATTATCTTGATATTCATTTGTCAAATCAACAGATAGAAAATAAAGGAGCTTTGTTAAGAGAATATTATTCACAAAACACTCTGGGCACTTCCTCTCTTATTGATAGACAACAAATAGACCCTTTATTTCACCACTGGCATATTTTGTTTTAATATTTCAGCCTCGAAAAACAACCCCACTAAACGTCACATTGTCAAAATCCACCTTTTTTTCTTCACTGACACTGTTCCTAAGAAGAGTACAGAAAATATGACACATTATTTTTAAAACCCCTAAAAATATTTGTACATCTTGTTCAGAAATATACACCAACCTTTTGAAACCATTCCAGTGTAAATTTGCCCAGCTCATTCTGGTGAAACAATGCAATGTGTTGGGACTCCTATTTGCAACTGGGTAAACTTCAATAAAGGGACATGCTGGTTTTTAGCTTAGTTGGGACAGTCTGATATTCAGTCTCACTGATAAAACAGACAGTGATTACAAATAACAAGTAGTCATAACCAACTAACGCTAACTCCCAACCCCTCAGTAGGTTGCTGAAGTGATATCCAAAGCTAGGGTATTCAGAGAGGTGTTGGCCTATGGTCTGCCCGAAGAGAGAACTTTCCAAAGTCAATATGGGCTCATCTATAGGAGATCCCATCTGTGGGTGGATTCAAGCTAAATGAAATGATTATTTGACAGAATCCTATAGAGAAAAAATAAGCAGCTTTACTTTGGAGGATTGGACTGAAAAATCTTTTATAATATGTCCCACTGTGAGGATCTGTGATTAGCGTAAGTCTGGATGATTTGATCAGTATAAGCCTTTATGCTCCATAAGAGGAGGAGCATATATAACTTTGTCTCATACATCACTGGTGGTACGCCCATGTGAGGTGTCCCAATATACTAGGCTAACCAATGAATTTTGAAATAACAGCTCTTCAATGGGCTGAAGACAGAATTTGAAGGCTTTGCTCTATTAATGGTGCTGACTCTTGCTTAGAGGGTCCCAAACTTGGTTGCACAGTGAAAGGAAGCAGGGGGCGTAGCATATGAAACATTTAGATTCCTGAGCCCCGCCACACAGCTACCCAATCAGAATCCCAGAGTGGAGCCCAGAAGTCTGTCTGCTGAGAAAGCTACTGCACAGCCCAGCAGCTGCATTCCCATGGCCTCTCGTATCACCAACCGGCAGCTGCATTCCCATGGCCTCTCGTATCACCAACCACCCTCAAAGGCAAGTTCCAGTTCCTTGTATGAGGTAGAATATTATGTTGCCGATTTCCAATGAGCAACTTATGGAGTGGAGTGAGTCTCAGAGACGAGTATCTGTCTGACTTGGTGATTTGGATCCTGGGGGCAGGGGTACAACCATTGTCCCCTCAAAACCGAACTCTCTAGCACGCCCAGAATGTCATACATCTAACAAACAAGGGAAATGAGGACTCTGGCTGCATCAGGGGCAATTCTCTCACTAGGCAAGCAGAGAAAATCCACAGTCTGAGTCTTATCGATGGAGGGCTTGGTGCTATCACTGCTGTCCATGGGCACCATTCATGAAGCCACCCGCCATACATCATCCCAAAGAATCACGTCATTGTGGTTCTCGTCTGACCCCAAGGCAACCCACACTGGCCTAAAATCAGCACTATGTGCATCAGGGAGACATGAAGGTGGAGACAGAAATAGGTTTTGAAATCTATGTGAAGTTCACCACATTCCCATGTTCTCACTTTGCTTTGAAGTAAGATAATATATATGGACGCTTCTTAGTCTTACTTTCATTTTCTGCTACATTCCGCTCTCTTTCTCTGTTTTGTTTTGTTTGTTTTTTTTTTTAGGTCCTCAATATTTCTTATTTCCAGCTGCTGAGATGACTAGTTGAGATTCTAGAAAGTTGGGTTCAGAGGTGCTTGTTCCAGACACAGTCCCCAAATACCAAAGGGACTGTCCTACCTCTTCCATTGGACACTCACACCTCCCCCCAAGGCAAGAAGGGACCTGGCCTCCCTGGGTCAGAAGATCGCCAGAATTCTCACCTGGAGGGTGATGCCAGTTACCTGGCCATTTTCAGGTTCCCTCTGCCAAGTTCAGGTGCTGGGCAACTCTTAGAAACTGGTGCTGAGGCTATTTCTTTTATCCTGCCTCAAGGCCAGAATTCTATCTCAAGGAAACCACAACTTGGAATTCTGAAAAACATTCTGAGTATTTTTATCTCAGCCTTTAGAACGGGAATGGAAGAAGCACATTCTGGACTTGGCCTGAGAGCACAGGAGCTGGGTGCAGTGCTGGATGTGGAACCCTTAACATTCTAGAGCATGCAGGGCACACAGGGCTCGGACCAGGTGCTCTTTGCTGCAGGAGACGCACTGCTCCCAGGGCTCACCTCCGTAGAGGGGTGGGGCCAAGAGAAGGCGCAAGGTTGCTGGAGAAAAGACCCAGTGAGGACACAGTGACATGTGCCACCCCTTGTGGGAAAGCATACTAATGGGGATCCCGAGATGGAGTGCTAGGCCAGTGTGACTTGCTTATTTTGAAATCTCTTGTGAATTGTTATCCTGACCTTTTTCCATATCCCAGTTATTTTTCTGTTTTGGTTTTGTGGTATGTGTTTAGGTGATAGCTTCCTTCTTTGTATTAATGAACCTGTAACATTTTATATGTTAAATAAAGGCTCTGAAGCACCCGGGACAGAAGAGTGCGCTGGTTTTTCATCTTCAGTGAAAATCGTCTAGTTGCTGGTGCAGAGAACTATGTATAAGAAGGGAGCTGTGGACACGAGTCTAAAGATGCATTTTTCTGTGGGACTCAGAGCTTCACGTCTCACTTCTCCCCACTCCCCTTTGCACGTGCAGCTCCCTCTCCCTGGAGGACCACCTTCTCTCCTTCCCTTCCCTGGGAAATTCTTACTCATGAGAATGTTCACTCCCAGCTTCAATGCCCCTTCTTCCCAAAAGCCTTCCCACCCCTAACAGTATCGGTCTGCCTGCTCAGCCTCTCAGCAGCCGCCCACTTGCCCAGAGCACAGCACACAGTCATTGGTCTACGTGGTCTGTCTCCCCCACCACTCAGGAAAGTCTCCGAGAATCACTTCGGTCTCACTCGCCACGGATTCACCCATCTTCTTGCACCTGGGATGGAACCAGTCGTCACAGATAATCTACTGAATCAAAGACCAGACTGTATATTTCCCGGGTATATTAAGAAGTAGCTCTCTCTGGCTGTATCCCCCACATACATCGTTTCAGAGTTCACCAAAATGTTTTTAAATCTCCTAAAAGGAAAAAAATGAATGATAGGATCTCTCACCCCTAAGTGCTATCAAATTCTCATTTTCAAAGTCTGGCATGTCTTTTTACAGTGTGGTTTCCCTGTGTACTTGCTATCCATGTACCCATGAGCTATTTATGCTATACATTCTCAGGAGAACATAGATAGTACCTGTGTTTGAATAGGGTACACACACGTGCACGTGCACACACACGCACATACACACACCCACCAAACACCCAGAACACACAGCCATGCTCACTGAGCACTGAGTGACCTGCCTCGGGGACCAGGGAACTCCTAGCTCTGAAGGGCCCACCCGCTTCCTGCCTGCTTCTCCTACACCAGATGCTGAACCGGAGGTCGTAACAGTGGTTCAGATTTCTCAACCATTTAAATGGAAATGTCCCTTTAAATAAGACCCTTTCCTGCAGACGATAATGTCAAGTCTGAAAAATATCCCTGCGTGAGCTACTGTCCCCATTTAGCAGTTCCCCAAAGGACTGTCTCGAGGACACTCCAGTCACACGGAAACAGTCAGCCCCTGGCACCTGCCAGACCACCTCTTTCGGAGGGAGCCTACCCACCCAGGCTATTCTTGATGTCTCCTAATCAAAAGTAAAAAGCGGGTTCACAAAGTCAGTCGCTGGATGCGGCAAACTTAAACAGTCTTCACTGCTAAAGCCCCAGAGACAGGCTAATCATGGCAATGACAGAGGAAGTATTAAAAATAGTACCTCCATTGTACTTTCAAAATAGCGAACGATATTCTTCTAATGTCCCAAAACAGCTCTCGAAAGGAATTAAACAGCTTTTTCCAACTGGCAAAAGTTACAAAACAAAATATAAATTAAATATAAATTAAAAAAAAAAAAAAAACCTTTAAAAGCAGTAGCGCCACAGACTCAGGATTACAAGAAAGTTGGCCAACATTCCAGGTCATCTTCTAGGATTTTGCCAAGAATGCATCAGGCCTGAGTGAAAAGGATTAGTTAGGCTGGGCACATTTTTTTTTCCTTTTCTTTTCTTACTTTTTTTTTTTTTTTTTAAGATTTTATTTTTAAGTAATCTCTACACCCAACGTGGGGCTTGAGCTCACAACCGCGCTGACTCCTGAGATCAAGAGTCACAGTCTCTACCGACTGAGCCAGCCAGGCGTCCCTGGGCACGTTTTTTCTTAATGCACTTTGCGTTGCAGGTATAGAAACAGCTCTTATGATGATTTTCATATAAGGAGCAGAAAGAGAATGAACTTATGTTTCCCGCAGCCTAGAGGTCACGTTACTGATAGAAGAGTAACTAAAATACCTGAAATTTTGGGAGAAGAAGACCCTTGCACTAGCAAAACCAGAGAGTATAATGAATTGATTTTTTTTCTCCTCATCCAGCATATCACATCATCATTTTGGCCGTGGAGAGAATACTGGAATTTTCTTCCCTCACATCAAGCTGCATCATCCTATCCAGGAGGGAAAGGGTGCCGACTGCCCAAGGAGTAATACATGCAATTGTTTGCTTCATGGGAAGGAGGTGGTTGTTGTGCCCAAGAGAGCGAGCACTTGCCTGCCTCCTTAGAGAAAACCAGTTCTTCTTGTAACCCTCCTGGATACTGACTTGTCCCAAATTGCCTGCGTGAGGAAAGTTACGGGGCTAAATCCAGTATCTCTCTGTATCTGATAAGCAATTTGTCCCAATATCCACTTTCACAGTCTGAGGATGCAAGGGAGCTTAGAATTCCTTTCAGCCTGGGAACAGCACTCTGGAAACCGAGTAGAGTTATCGAAAGTGGTCACTTTCTGGCTGCTGAGGTCACTCTCTGAGTCCTCTGACAGGACTGTTATCACTCAGTATCTGCTGCTAAGCTGAATGCACTGCTTTCCTCAGGGGAGATTCTGATAGAGCCCTGGAGTTTTCTGTGCGTGCCGGTGGGATGAGGACACTTTAGCTACCGCAAAATACCAGTGGGCAAAGGGGCATTCTGCATTTAGATGAAGTGTTGGCACTTGTCTAAAACAGGAAAACACAGTGTTTGCAACTTTAACAACGGGCCTGGAAGGTTTGTTGAAACATAGACTGCTGGGCTCCCATTTTGAGCGTCTGATTTAGTAGGTCTGGGTTGGACCCCGAGAATTTGCATTTCTGGTATGTTCCTAGGTGCTGCTCTTTGGGGGACCTCATTTTGATGACCTCTGATAGACAGGATGCTTTGAGAGAGTTGGGCCTTTTTTCCCCCAACATATTTCCATGCTGAAGGTACTGGAGCCTTTCCAGCACCCTGATTTTTACTAACATGCTTAGGTCTAGGAAAATCGGCTTAAAAATTGGTCTCCTATGGAAAAAAACCAAAAACCAAAAACCAATTCAAAGCAATGGCAAATTGCAAAAGGTGGAGCGGTAAACATATTAATGAAAAAAACTATATTCAAAAGGTTGGTGTATATGAAATTTTCTCCCCTACAACCCAGGAAAATAACTGCACTTTATTAATACAGAATAATCACATATTTACCTGCGCATGAGACTATCAACTCACTTTTTAATATAAAGAACATAATTATCACTGAAAAACAAAAATGTAGCAACAACATTATTTTTTAGGCATGGGTAATTTTCCTCTGGAAACTTGATATATATATATATATATAGATAGATAGATAAATAGATAGATAGATAGGTATAAAACAGCAATTTTAAATTACCCCCTTATACATTTAAACTGAACCCAATGTATTTCCCACCATTTTGGAAACTAGAGAAGGTCTCTAAAGGAATTCCCACTGAACTGTATTTTCACAATGTGCTAATTAAAAGAGTGCAGTTGTTTCCCATTATCCATAGCAAACATTTAAAAATAAGCTAAACAGTCCTAAAGTAAATTAAATCGCTTACCTTTGAGCCCCGCTCATTAAAAATAATTTCAACATCTAAGATTTTACCAAATTGCTGCAAAGAAATAGAAATGTTTTATAAGCAAGAGAAATGGAGTAAATCATACTATGCACATTGGTAATTGTACCCCAAGTCAGAGTTTGCTTTTTTTTCTTTTTTAATATCAGGGATAGACATTTGATGTTGTTTTATCCTTAGTGATGTGCTTGAACCAAGAGAAAGCACAACCACACATATGATTTCTATTTTACTGGATACCCCACCGAGTGAGATGTCATAGTATGGCCCTGGTGCAAAATGTGTAGTCAGGTGGTTAGTTCTATTTTCCTTTCTTTATGTGTGCACAATTGCTTTCCCAGGCACTGAACAGCAAAGATTAAAACTGGCTGGAGTATAAACTGACCCTTCTAGGCTACTCCACTAGCCACTGGGAGAAGCACCGTTGATGAGGTGGGATTTTGATGGTAAAATGTCCAAGTGGAATCTGATGGTGAGGATGGTGGCCCTTGACCCCTGTATAAGCTACAGTAAGAGCCAGGCCATATAAGAGAAGTCAAGTACAAACAGATGAAAGCAAGATCCACCATGTGGACATCCATCATAATCAAGACACCAGCATAGCTGTGATAAGCCCTGAGGCCAAAATGTACTTCTCTCAAGATGATTCTTCATTTTGTTAAACAAACAAATAGATTTTAGACAATTAGCAGGAATAGGCTGTATAAAAAGTGAAAGCAACTCGACATATTCAAGCATTCAAACATGGTTCCAGATTACAAATAGGGCAGCCAACTAAATTACAGATGCCTAGTTAAATTTAAATTTCAAAATTTTCAGGATAATTACATCCCCTGCAATATTTATTTATTTATTTATTTATTTATTTATTT